TCTTTCTTTCTTTCTTTCTTTCTTTCTTTCTTTCTTTCTTTCTTTCTCCTTCTTTCCTAGCTCTTCTTTTCTTCTCATTCTCCTTCCTTCCTTCTGTCCTTCCCCCAGTCTTCTTCTTTTCCTTCCTTTCTTCCTTATTTCCTCCGTCCCTGAGCTACAAATATTCTCCTTTATTTGCAGCCCAACCCCCTGCCCTCCCCACCCTACCTCTCTGCTGATGGCGGAACCAGCCATGGCTACACCGCACTAATTTTTTTCCTGGCTCCCAATATAAGCTCCCAGCCTGCATGTCGCGTTCTTGAGTCAGCTTTTTCCCCCCACTCTCCTCTTGCTAACTGCCAGCTGATGGGCAGTTTAATAAAAAATGACAAGAGGGAAAGAATTTATCTTCCTGCGGTGTTTGCGCCGTGCCTTTTGGCCTCTTCTTAATCACTGTGGAGAATGCAAAAGCGATTTAAAAAGGACGGGAGGGGTGGAGAAAGAGGGTGAGGGGGGTGGGAAACAGAAGAGAAAAATGGATCGTGTTAGAATTGCAGCCTCCCGGGGGCGTTGGAATATTGGGCCTGAAGGAGATCTGTGCATCCCCTTAGGACTGGCTTCCAACGACAAACGGACACCGAGGGCGAGATTTGAGTTTTCCTTCAAAGGGGGCATCTTCCTTCCTTCCTTCCCAAAACAAGAGTCTCCTTCTGGGAGAAAGTTATTTTGGGAAGGAGAGGAACCGAAGACTTCTAATCACCTTCTCAGTCAGAGCTGGAAGGGGCTTTGGAGGTCATCTAGTCCACACACACCCCCGGTTCAAGCAGTAGACCCTAGATAGGTGGTTGTCCCGTCTTTTCTTAAAAGCCTCCAATGACTTCTGAAGGCAGCTTCTGTTCCACTGTTAAGAAGTTTCTCCTTCATTCCAGGTTGCTTCTCTCCTGGGTTAGTTTCCATCCTTTGCTAGACTGATATGGAGCCCCTCGGAAAGAGTATAGAGTGTGGACACGTTTTTGGCCATACACCCCAAATGTGGAGGGATATCCTCAATGTTTACATTCCTGGAGACATCCTCGGAGGTCTAACTGGCTCGTGGCAACCTGCGAATTCCTCAAATCATCTCTGTGGTGGTGTCAGCATTCCAACTAACCAACCCAATAAACTCTGAGACAAACAATTCATCAAAGTTCCATTTGATTAAAGTTGTCATATTCCCAACTGGAGACATCCCTCCTGCCACTTCCCTCCAGGTGCAGGGCAACATGTCCTTGACTCTCTGAGAAAAGAATGTTGTTGTGTCTAGCTTTCTACCCAACTATGAAATCCCGCTCCCAAATCCCCAGGCACTGAATGTGGCAGCCTCGAAGCTTCCAAGTGAAACATAGCTTCCAAGGCTGACAGGTGGCTTATTAAACCATCATGAGGAGTGGGTTTCAATCACATGACCTTGGGGATGCTGCACTGGTATGAGGAATCCCTTATTCAGTGCCTCACATCCTGGACATAAAAACTCTTTCAACTCCTTCCCTCAAAACGATACTATGCAGAACACTGCACATCAGAACAACTAGACAAAAGGACAGTTTTCTCCCAAATGCCATCACTCTGCTAAACAAATAATTCCCTCAACACTCTCCAACTGTTGACAAAGTCTGCACTACTATTACTATTAATCTTCTCATCACTCTTTATCACCCATCCCCTTGCGCTTGTGACTGTATGACTGTAACTTTGTTGCCTGTATCCTAACAATTTATATTGACTGTTTCCTAGTATGATTGGATTGCTTATTTGTACCCTATGACTATTATTAAGTGTTGGACCTTATGATTTTCGGCGGATGTATCTTTTCCTTTTATGTACACTGAGAGCAAATGCACCAAGGACAAATTCCTTGTGTGTCCAGTCACAGTTGGCCAATAAAGAATTCTATCTATCTACCTACTCCTGAGTAGACGCTAAACAAATAATTGTAAGTCAAGGGCTACTTCGGTTAGATGTTTGCATATGGCATGAATCCTGGCTTGTTGAGTTCCCTGATAGCTCGGGGCATTGCATAAACCCAGAAAATGGTTTGATTCAGTAACCAAGTAGCATGTGTGCACAACCCCAGTGTGGTAGCTATATGAATCAAACAGGCCTCAGATTGTGTTGCATAAGAGCGTGGCTGATTTTTGCAAAGCTCTCTAGCCTTTTGCATATTCCTGATGTGTGTGGTTTTTTTCTTAAACAATGCAAAGGTGCAATGATGTACTTTCTTCTTCTTCTTCTTCTTCCTCCTCCTCGTCTCCCTCCAGCCCATCATCCACGTTCCTGGCCCAATAAAGCGACATTACCAAACTCATGTTTCTTTCCTGGGTTGCCATGGTAACCTGCGAGCTGGCGATGTCAGGCAGCTTGGCAGCAGGGACCGAATCCCAAAAGGACATTTGCTCAAGGTCAGGAGAAAGTGACTCCTAGCAAAGACACAAATTGTGGGTTTGCCAAGGTGCCCCTGGCTTTACTGAAGGCTCCCGTTGAGACCCGGGCTCCAAATCACATTAACTTTGCTCCTTTTGCAAAAGATTTGGTGTGTGAATCAAAGGAAAGAGGAGAAAAATCCTGCTAGACAGCCCTTCCCTACTAAAAACACTCAGGGTGGGAACGAGGTCCCTCCTGCATCGTACTTTGAGAATTCTCTACTTGAAAGCCGACAGCCCAGGTTCGAGATCCGAGCACCATGTGACGGGGTAAGCTCCCATTCCTTGCTCAAACTCCTGCCCACCTAGCAGTTTAAAAAGCATGCAAATTAGAGTAGATAAATAGGTACCACTTTGGTGGGAAGGTAACGATGTTCCATGCTCCTCAGCATACAATCATGGTGGCCACGTGACTACGAAAATGTCTTTGGACAATGCTGGCTCCCATGGCTAGGAAACAGAGATGCCTCCTAGATTTGGGCTTGACTGGACAGAAGAACCTTTTATCTTTACATATAATTTATCCCATGTATTTTTGGAGTGTCGTTTCTCCAACCGTGCTGTTCTATATCATCAGATGGAGATCTAACTTAGAATTAAGGATAAATTTCCTGACAGTGAGAACAATTAACCAAGGGAAGCTTCCAGAAGTTGTGGATGTTCCATCACTGGAGATTTTCAAGAGGAGACTGGGTAGCCATTTCTCCAGAAGGGTATAGGGCAAGGGTCTTCAAACTCGGCAAGTTTAAGACTTGTCAACTTCAACTCCCAGAATTCCTGAGCTAACATGACTGGAGGCAGAAGAATTCTGGGAGTTGAAGTCCACAAGTCTTAAAGCTGTCAAGTTTGAAGACCCCTGGTATAAGGTCTTGTGCTTGAGCAGAGGGTTGGACTACAAGACCTCCAAGGTCCCTTCCATTCTATTATCCTATGTTCTGTTAGAGGAGTCCTCAAACAGATTCTCCAAGCCAAATCTAGGTTCATGTTCCTGGAGAAAATTAAGTGTAACCCTCTTTATTTTGTACTAATGGCTTATTGTGTTTTATTTAGGCCACTTTCCTGTTCTTGACTGAGTTGGGGAAAGTGGGTAGCAAATCCAAATTAATGTCAGTTTAAGACTTCCAAGTTGGCGCTCAACATTTGGCCAACAGCACTAACATCGGTTGAGCTGTCCATCATAAACATGCGCAACCTGTTTTGCGGCAGTCAAACCATCCCAAGAATACTATAAATAGTTGCTTACAGATCCACCTCTCGCATCCACCCCTGGCCCACCCCACCTGATATGAAACACAGAACTGCAATATTCTTTGCAACAGATGAGAGAGATCTCGTCTGTGCCTTTCGTTCTAACCTAGGGGTGAGACCAAAGGGTGAGATTAAGGGGATGGGAAATTAAGGCCAAGCTAGGTCAGTTCATATATTACAGCTACCAGTCTAAATTTCAAGGGACTCCAAGGTAAGATACAGTTGATGAAAGCTGCATCCCAGATCTATCAGCGCATTTAAAAAAATGCTCTTTATATTAACCTCTTCGTGCCAACTCAAGCTAGTAAGTCTCCCCAGCTGCTTAAGGGAGCTGACATTAAGAGCCTGCAACACTCTGCCTTGTTTCCATCAAGATTGGGTTTGTGTCAGGAGATTATTGTGGTGGCGGAATGGCCTCTTTGGATGTCTTGAACTCTGGGTTTACTTCTTGCTCATAATTAAAGTTGCAATGGAACAAGGAGATGGGAAGCAGTGGAAAGAGAGAGTGATAACAAGAGAATAAAAGAATGACCGAGTTGGAAAGGAGCTTGGGGCCCCACATCTTTCCAGGCAAGTGGCCGTTCAACCTCTTCTTAAAAGTCTCCAGCGATGGAGCTCCTCAGATGTGGTCCCAACGATGGCTGCAAGTGAAAGGTGACCTGTAGGCCAGACATTATCAACCAGACGAAGGTGGGGAAGCTTGAGCAGAGAGATAATTGTCTAATTTCACTAGGATTAGGTCATGCAGTGGTGCATGGACAGGAGGGCTCACCCCTTCCCATTGTTACTCTTTTCCAGTTGATATTTAGGACATGCTACCTTAGACCCTGGAGGCAACCTCTGGTCCTCAAAACTAGCCAAGATCCAGGAGATAAAAGAACAGCGAGATGTTGGTGGCTAAGACAATTCTAGACTCTGGAAAGAATGTTAGTTATCATTGCCTAGAGAGCATTTTTTTCTCTCTCAAAAACTTCAATAGCTGGGAGTGTAGAATATGAGTGATCCTTGGTGCTGTCTGAGCTTGCATGACTAGCACTGATGATGTTACCTCGTTTGGGTAATGAAACATCTTGAAGGAAAACCACTAAGCTTAGAGAGCACTGAGGACCCTCTCATTTCAACTCAACCCCGAGCCACAAATGTTCTCTTTTATTGATACGGAGAATCTAATAAATATATAAAAATAACAGGCAGAAGGCAGGTGACTGAAGTAGCAATAGCAATAGCGCTTAGACTTATATACCGCTTCACAGTGCTTTCCAGCCCTCTCTAAGTGGTTTACAGAGTCAGCGTATCGTCCTCAACTATCTGGGTCCTCATTTCACTGACCACGGAAGGATGGAAGGCTGAGTCAACCTTGAGCTGGTGACAATTGAACTGCTGGCAATGGGCAGAATTAGCCTGCAATGCTGCATTCCAACCACTGTGACTCCACAGTCCCTTCCTTCCTTCCTTCCTTCCTTCCTTCCTTCCTTCCTTCC